GCAGACAGCCAATGCTTGGTTTGTGGTTGCTAACTCAACTTGAAGAGCTTTGGCACAGTAACACATGAATGCGTCACCAAGGCGGGTGACTAGTTCTGCAAGTTTACATTCTATCACTTGTATGCACAGCTGCTAATGTACTACAAGTGCACAGATGTGTAAGGGAGATAAAATCTCAGCAGATTTTCATGCAATTTTAACCAGTATATGATGTTAAGGTGCTTATAACTAATAATGTCTGCACAATTATGTTCTAAGAAATTAATAGACTTTACAGACAACCTTCCTTTGCGCTGCTCGTGTTGTAAATTTTACCCTTTTCTTTCTTACTACAATATCCTCACAATGGTAGTTTTATATATTAAAAATTACTCTTTCGGCAGAGGTGGTTTCAGGCAAGATAAATAAATTAATAAATAAAAAGTAGTACAACTCGAGTTATCGCCTCTATATTCATAAGAACTAAAACTGTTCTTTGCACTCAGTGGAATGCCTATTTAATGGCTTTCTATTGCTGTTTCTTACATCGCTATCTCATTTTTTTCTTTTTATGTCTCCTAGAATATTTATATTTGAAAAACAAAATAAAAAAACCTCTCCATTTATTATAATTGTTCTACCTTTTTAAAAACAAAACAAAACAAAACAAAAAACAGTGGATTATGTACACACATAGAAAATATAAGTAAGTATTTATTTTCAAGACTTTAGAAATTAAGTTTCTATACTCTGCACTTTGAATTGGATAAGCTAAACAACTTTAATTTTGCACATTTTAGCATTCCTTTACAATATGTTTCCATCTTAAATATCTGAAGAAATAGTACAATGTCATGCATCAAAGCATAGCAAATTTACAACCTCTTAAATGTAATCTCAGAAAATGATTGCTAAAGGTTTTTGCCAAAAATCTGAGCACTGACAGACTGTCCTTCCAAGTTTTTATCTGAGGTTTGTAAGCCAAAGAATAAAGTCTAAAATTACACTTCTGATGTTTCAAAATACCAACAACTGCATTGACCATGAAAGACAATGGAAGTGCCAAGATCACAGAGCTCATGGTAAATATTTCTTTTAGTCAAAGTTTGATTATTAGAAGAGAAGGAAAATAAAGAGAATCACAGATCAAAAGCTTCATCTGGAAAGATTTAGTGGATTCATCTCACTTAACTTCAGCACTTCACAGATAGTGCACTTTAGTGCCTGTAAGTTACAGATCAGTGCTGCCTGCAGGAAAGGATAAGGTTTGGATACAAAGAAAAGCACAGAAGCTTTGTGTGCTTTGCTCTGCAGTTCTAGACACAAATGCCTGTCACCCTCTCCCCCAGGTAAGAAATACTGACATATATTTTTAAAAGGTTCTTCAAACTGCTGAACTACCAGATAACAATTCAATAAACTTTCTCATTGTAGTCTAGGCTACACTTCTGTTCAGTGATAAGAGTGGTTCCAGTGCACTATTAGAGAAGTGCCAGAGCTGGTGCAAGATGAGGACAGAGAAGAAGGTATAAGCAAAGCAGGAGGGCAGTGTTACAGATATCAGGTCAAATCAGGCTTAATGTGTAATTTCATCCTGATTATTTCTGAAGGAAAATCCTTCCTTTTTGCACCACTCTGACTACACAAAGACATTAGGGCAAGAAAGGTCCACCTTTGCAGGTATAAAGCTGAAGGCAGAGTTGGATAAATCAAGGTTCAAGTTTTTATGTGTGTGGTTTGGTTAGCCATGGTGAAAGATAAAGTTTATGCTGATTAAAAAAATAATGCAAAGTACAAATAGTAACACAAAAAAGTTTGGAATTGTTATATCCTTCTAAAAAAAGAAATACATTTTAGTAGAGGCTATTAATGGGAAACTCCACTGTCTCTCTGAACAATGTTTTATGCTCTTCTGTTGGATCTGGAAAAACAATTACAAACCTTATTGGTTACCCTGATAAAACGTAAAATTTCTTAGCATGAAATCATGTGAAAAACTTGACTGTACCAATTGTAATTGCTATCATGCATTCAGGGACTTATGAATGGCATCACATTTTCTTCTGATAGCTCAAAGAGGACAGCTGCACTATGAAGGCCATATTATGAGCCTTTAAGAACATAATCTCAGCATGATTCCAGATACCAAACCTGCTCTGAAGTAATAGTTTGCATTTATCCATATAAAGAAGAAATCCACAGAAATTGTGAATGTACCAGCATATTCTCAATGATTTACATGAGAAGCTAGATTAAAAGGTTTTCGAAATTCATTTACTAATTGATTAATTAAAAAAAGGAAACAGAAGGCCAAGAAACAACTGAAAAAAGCAAACATAAAAGCAGCTTCTGTTTTTCTCCTGAATGGGTGGCCATACTTTTTAAGAAAGTACCAAATCAAATGACAACTTTTCATTTCAATTTCTCAGAGCAAATGTAATATTCAACATCAGATTACCTTAGTCTCCATAATTTGAAATAATGAGCTGTTTTATTATATGAAATACATTCTTTTCTGTAATAAAAGAATAATATGAATTCTTCCAACATTTAGAGTTCAGTATTAAACTTCTTTCTTCCAAGATTAAAATAAATGATAAAGGAGGTAAGATTAACCATAAATATAAAACCTTTATGTAAAAAGTATGCAAAATGCTATAGTTACTTCAAAATCAAAGGGTATGAATCCAGCTGATATCACAAGGAGATAAAAATGAAAAATGACAACAACAAAAAAACAAAAAACCCACCCACCCAGCCTCAAACTCTTAACATTTCATTAAAAAATGAGTTAATGCAATCTGAGACCACACAGGCTGGAATACCTTATATCAAAAGTGTATACTTACTGAAACATGGAAAGACAGCATTGACACTGGTGCTTGTACTTTCAGTGTACTTAAAACATTAGTTTATATTAACTATGAATATCTTAGGTTTATCTATTCAAGAATTCTACTGTTCTAACTTGAAAACAAGGGTAAAAGGGTAATTCCTAACATCAATTGACAGTTTTATATGCGCAATGATTAAACAAGACTGATAGTGATCATATTACGTAACAGAATACAGTGAACACTTATCACCGTCATTCATATCTTTTCAAAATACATAAATTAAGGATTTAAACACTGCATATTACTTATATTTAAAAATAGCCCGCCTAAATGAAATCATGAAATTATGATATTGCTGCATATTTTATATAGCTTTCTTTATTAAGATGGCAGAGAAATTTACTTGAAGACTAACTCTTTGTAAACTAAGTTGTCCTATTCTGTACAAGCCATTCTATGATTCTATGTGTGTTAAGACTCAGTCCTGATTTTGAAATTTAATTATATGATGTAGATAAAGACATTAGAAATAAGAACTATCAAATGATCACTTCTGATGTACCAACTGATGATCCTACTATGTTAATGACACCTGAAAATTACTCTGGGGAAGCATGTTCAATTACTCTCTTCTGTAACAACACTATTTTAATCGCTGTACATGGAACTTCAGAAGCATGACAATTCTGAAAGTTAAATGTGAAAACTATTCTAGGAGGATATTGCATCAGATGACCACCCAGTGTGATTCAGCAAAGAAAGTAAACACATTAAGAACTCTTGTTCTTTTTACTTCAATTTAAGGGGATTCGAATCTGAGATCTGATCTCAGGAAAATGACAGTAGTTTTAGCTTAAGTCAAGGCTCACTTAGTCTCAGCTGTCAGTGAAATTATTTCAGTTTTATTCTAATAAAAATGGTTTTCTAACTGGTTAGCACAGACAAACTGTGTTGGATCAGTTCAAAAAATGAGTTCTGCTGTAAAAATCTAAGAAAGGAGTTTGGGGCAACAGCAGTGAAAGAAGATGGGGTAAGGAATTTTGGAGGTGTAGTGAGAAGACTTCAAGAGGTATGTGAATAGTCCGGTTTCTGTAGAAATAATGGTATCAGAATGAGTGACAAGGATACTTTAGGAGAATTGCAAGTTCCTTGAAAGGCATCTCCCCATCTTCTCAGTCTATTGATATAACGACTTCAAGATGACCATTCTGAACCAGTAAGAGGTTATTTAGGTTCCATTACCTTGTGTAGGTAGTTTGTCTTGCTTTTTCTCACGTTCATAATTTTTGATTCGTTAATGTTTTCTTGTTTTGCAAATCTTTGCCAAAACATTCAGTAACTCTGGGAGAGCATTTAATCACTCCTCACTGTCAGCTTTTGTTTTTATATCTTCACTATTCTCTAGCTTCAGCAAACCTTCCATATTACTATTCACGCTTTTCCAGATTTGTTCTGGAAAAATTTGGAATTCCATAGGTAAATTTCATTTATTTCTATCCTCTTTTACAGACATTTAATTTACAGAAGGATTTTCTCCCTTACTCCACAGTAGATTAGTCTCTCAATATTGTTAAAGGCAAGATCTTTACAAAAGCCTTTTGGAAATCTCCATATAATGTATTGACTCCTAAAATACAAGATTTTGCACACTTTTAGATGTGAAGCACTCTTCTTCCAGAAGCACTCTGACTTCTTGCTTGGATGAAACTCAGGTGTGTTTATACAGAAATATGATTCTGGATGAAACCTAAGTGATTGCCATCTAGTTTCCTTTCCTCATCCTGACTTTCTCCAATAGTTCCCTGTCCGGAGAACCCAGAATTGGATTTAGTACTCCAGATGTGACCTCACCAGGGCAGAGTAGAGGGGGCAGATCATCTCCCTCCACCTGCTGGCAACACTTTGTTAATGGATACCAGGATAGCCCAGACACCTCTGGCCTTCTTGCCCACAAGGGCTCACTACTGGCTCATGGTCAGCCTGTTTAGCAAACCGTTGTACATCAAGACATCTATGTTCAGGTTCTCCATGGTGCCTGACAGATATCATCACAGGTGTTTCTCAGAATGACACAGGAAAAGAAAAGAAATAAAAAAATCAAACCTAAACATTTTTTCCTATGGTTTAAGGCTAGGGAGAGAGAAAATTGACTTTATGTTAGTTATGCTAAAACAGAAAGATTACCTCACGATGATTTAGAAGTCTCTCCAAATCTGCTGCCATTTGATTCTTGACACGCAGCAAAGCTGTCTTTTCTTTATTTAAAAGACTGGCAAAAAAAGAGGATAGGAAATACGGTAATAGCAACAGATAATCTCTTTTAATCTTGTATTCTGGTTGAAACATGCATTTTCTAAAGCTAAATATTGGCAACAATGAAAATCTGCTCAAGTAATTGTATCAGATGATCCTGCTCTGTCTTTAAGCACAGGAATTTTTATAAAAGGACCTAAATGCAGCCATGTATACAAAATCTTATTTAGTCAAGTAATTCTATTTAATTTTTTTTTTAATTCCCTGAAGGGTAATTTAAAAATTATCAGAACCTTCTATTATTATCTATTGGTTTATTCTTAGCAAAAGGAGTTCATTTCAAAAGCTATGCAAGGTTTGTTGTACCTCTGATTTCAGTATCAAAATTCCTTTTTCTACCTACATCACTAGTACAGCAGACATCATCACCCTTTCAAAAATCACCTTTTTTGACATTACTGTATTTAAAATTCCGAAAATAAATACAAGAAATATCAAGATGCAGCTTCCACTTTCAGCTCTGTAGTTTCAGCAGAAATTTCAAATGTGTTTTTTTATTTGATATGACAAGAGACTCAAAAGAATCAAGTCTTTCTTATGAACAGCGTGAAAACTATTTTAGCATAAATACATGCAATATCAAATTTAGCTTTAATTGTCCTTTTTTAAACAATTATGTAATCTGAACATTTTATTTTGTGTACACATTCTGATTCTAGGTAGCAATTCACCTAATATAGCTAAATATATTTCCACAATTATCTCAAACAACAGTTTCCAATAATAAACTTCACACTAACACATACATAATGTCTGGACATAATCTATTTTCTTAAAATAGACGGAATTTTTCTTAGTAGAACAATGTTGTACCATTACTGTGACTTAACTAAATAGGTTCTGCAATATAAACTGCAATATACATCAGCAGCTATGCAAAATTCAACTCTGCATATGGAATGAAAACATACAGTACTGAATCAGATTATGAGTTCAAAAGCAAATGTATTAAAATTTTAGAAATTGAGTGGAGCAATTATGTATATTGCAAACACAATTATTTAGTATTCCCAATATTTGATCTAGAAATTATCAGCAAAATAAATAAACATTTTCTTTAGTTGTATGTGTAATATCTGCTTGTTTCAAGTAAACATCATTCTCTGTTTCAGACATTTTCTGGAATTTTCTTACAAGATTTGTATTGGAGACTTTGCCTGTCAATTTCTTCTGGCATTCATTAATACTCTGAAATTTTGCTTACTATGATCAGATTGCTTAGCTGCCTTGCTCAGTTACTTAAAAGGGCAATAGTAAAATTTATGAAAAACTACAAGGATATTATACTATTTTCAAGAGTTTTATTTTCTGTGACATTTTTAATCATAATAAAATTGCTGTACTGTTTTTTCTTGGGTTAATTTGTTGTAATTTACTGATGCAAAAGTTTTTCTTGGATTTTCTCAGAGCAGAAACCAATTATTTTAGACAATGACTCACAAACTTATTAGAGAAGCAATAATGAAAAGTTCCTGTACGACTTAAATAGTGTACTGAATAAGCACATACAAAAGTGTTCATGACTAACCAGAAATTCATGTTCAAGGTTAAATTTCATCCACAGAGTAAAACCTATTCTAGTTATACCAGTTGTATTTTCTGAAAGAATGACAAAACCAACCCATGTGGAGCACTCTCAGCATTATTTTCATTTTCTTTGTTTATGATAAAATACAGGAATTACTCTGCTATATCATTCAGTAGCACTTTATGTGTTTTCTGTTGTATGTAAAAATCCTACGAATGCAGAACTACCAAAATACACAGGGACTTCAGATTTAGTAGTTCTGCAATAATTGTGCTTTTTCATCACTGCTATCAGAAGGGAATAATTCATACACTTCTGAAAGAGTACTGCAAAAGAGGCATATATACAATTAACATGTTAATAAATTCACACCTATAATGACCACGTAAAACTTCCTGAAAGTTCACTTTGGGGAAGAAGATAATTTCAGTCCCTGTAAAGAAAATGTTCTAACAAGTATCTTGGATATAAGAGGTCAATGAGGTTCTAACTTTAAACCATCTGACATGTTCATCAACAAGCAGTTTAAACTAATCCAGTTTTAATTTGTGGTGTAAGAAAGCAGACAGCAGTTCCTTTAAAGTTCATTTCAGATGACTTAAGTGAAACCTGCTGTTCAAAGGACAGCCTTTTCTATCCCTAACCATGTGGGTAGAAAAATTGTGACTTTGCAAAAAGATCATTCTACTAATCTGGATTAATGACAGGCAGGTCCTTGACCAATCAGATCTTTTTTTGTAATTGGGTGACCTACCTGGTGGAAGATGGAAAGGCTGTTGATATAGTCTACTTAGGCTTCAACAAAGCCTTTAACACTGTCTTCCACAGAATACGGCTGGAGAAGCTGGCAGCCCATAGCTTCTCTTTGCTGTGTAAAGAACTGGCTGGAGGACTGGACCCTGGAGTACTGGTGAATGGAGTTAAATCCAGCTGGCTACAGGCCACAAGGGATGTTCCCAAGGGTCGGTGCTGGGGCCTGTCCTCTCCAATATCTTTACTGATGACCTGGATGGGAGCATTGAGTGCACCCTCAGTGAGTTGGCAGTTGACACTAAGTTGGCAGGAAATGTCAATCTGCCCAGGGGTAGGAAGGCCCTACAGAGAGATCTGGACAGGCTGGGTCTCAGGGCTGAGGCCTATGGGATGAAGTTCAGTAAGACCCAGTGCTGGGTCCAACACTTCGGCCACAGCTTTGGCCCTAGTCAATGCTACAGGCTTGGGATGGGGTGGCTGTAAGACTGTGAGGAAGAAATGGACCTAGGAGTGTCTGTCGACACATGGCTAAACGTGAGCCAGCAGTGTGCCCAGGTGGCCAAGAAAGCCAATGGCATCTTAGTACCAGAAATTGCTTTGCCAGCAAGAATAGGGAGGCAACTCTCCCTCTGTGCTCAGCTTGGTGAGGCTACATCTTGAGTACTGTGCGCAGTTTTGGACCTCTCGCTACAAGAAAGACACTGAAGCTCTGTAGAGTGTCCAGAGAAGGGCACTGAAGATGTGAGGGGTCTTGAGCACAGGTCTTATGGGAAGTGGCTGAAGGAGATGGGGATGTTTAGTCTAGAGGAGAAGAGGGGATTTATCGCTTTCTACAGCTCTGAAAGGAAGCTGTGGTTATGTGGCCATCAGCCTCTTCTAACAGTGACAGGACTAGAGGGAGTGTCCTCAAGTTACGGCAGGGGAGGTCATGCTTCTGCGTGCTTAGGCTTGAAGAAGAAAAGAGAATGTCTACAAGGGCATGCACTTGCATTCCACTACAGCTTCAAGACCTCACCAGATATGAATTCAGGGATGAGAAATATGGAATACGCTTGTCTCATACATACACATGGCACACTGCAACTATTGCCTTGTTTTGGTTTGCTTTCCTTGTGATCCACAGGCCATTTAGCATGGATATCATAAGAATATGGTAATTTGAATTACCATAAGAATAAGGTAATGTGTTTTTTTTCCGGAAAAAGAAGACTAACATTTCCTAGTCTCAGATTTTAAAGCATTAAATTTAAATTTGGGCAATTAAAGCATCTTTTAAATCTCTGGTCTAAGAATATCAGCTATTGGCGTACTCAGAAGTTTCTATTATTAAATATTCTGAATAATATGTTTGTGCTGGACACACTAAATAAACACTGTTTTAATATTGCTGGTTTTTATTATTACTTATTCAGTTTGACAAAAAGTAGGTTCCTTTTCTTTAGAACTGTAGATCCCAAACGTTTATGAAATAAGGATTATACCTTCATGTTTGTTACTTTCAAGTTACAGTACAATGAAGATGAAAATTTAAGTTCAATCTTGGATTATTTCTTTGCATCTTATTATCATATCCAAATACCACAAAAAAAAAATCAAATTAAAAAATAGTATATAAGATGGCTTTGTACACAAAACTAAATCTATAATGTATGCCCCTTCTCTGCAAATGATGATGAGCTCAGAGCAGGCAGCGAGTTTTGAACCTTGAAGTAGTTTTTTAAATTCATGCAGTTAGATATAAAAAAGTTCTCAAATAAAAGTTCTTTAGAGAATATATGAAAAATCTGTGAGCTCTCATTATGCAGCCACAGCACAATAACCACAGATCAAATTTTTGAAGACATTTAGAAGTCTGCTGTTTGATGATTTCAACTGGATTACTTCAGGTGGCTTAAGAACTCTAGTCTGTGTAGTGTCCAAATTGAAAAAGGATTTCTTTTTAAAGTAGTAAGTAAACAAAAAAAATCCAGCTATATATACATACATATTTAAGTTGTACTTACATAAATTGTAATAAGAGTCAGTAAACATACATTTGTAGAAAAAAGAAACAGTTGCATAACTGTTGTTTCACAAGTAGCTTACTTTAGTGTTTGGATAGATGATGCACATTTAACAGAATGGTAACATTCTCACAAAAAGCTCATTGCTCATTCTATGATGGGAAAAAGTCAACTAACACTGTATGCTGAATTTATAATGTTTGGAACGCGATTAGGGAACCCAAAACGCAGAGCTTCTTAGCAAAATCCTTGTACTGCTTCTGGTTTTGCCACACAGTTAGGCTTTTGAGGAGTGCTTTTGGATCAGCAAACCACTTTTAAAATCAACCATTGGTATGGAGAAATTTGAGTAAATTTAAAATAAATACTCTCTTTATGAATGAACTCTTGTGTAATGTCTCCAGTTATTTATATACCTAGCTGTTTCAGCACAAAACTATGTACCAAAACTACAATTACTTCACTACACACACAAGAATGAAATTCACAGTCTTGTTTGCCCACAGCATGACATAGTTACAAGGCATTTCTTTTCAAAAGGAGAGCTAAATGTAGTGTTTTCATTTCTGGTTAAAGAACTGCATGCTAGAGAGCTTTCTTTATTATATGAAAGAGTCATCCACATACACACAACTGCTCTTACTAACCATCACTATTTACTTTTATTAATAAGTGCTATTTGAGCTAACAAATAAGAGGTTACTTTATAGAGTATTTTGAAATATGTGGATCTATAAATTCATCCTGTAGATGCCTTGTCATTCAAGACCTGAGAATTTCTGCAGGTACACAGTTCACAAGTATACAAGGTGGCCTCCTCCCAGTCACACCTCAGCTGCACTGCAGAATGCCAGCACAGAGTCGGTGTCCTGCCCAGAAGAATTCAGTGGCGGATGGGGAAGAGAGTGGTAACGGAGATGTGATGGGCAACATTTTACAGGGTTTTGATTGTCCCTCAGTAATCTCTCATCTTTGAATGGTAATCAAATCACACATGATATCAAGCAGTGCTTAAGCAGTTAAGCACACAACTATTGACTACTTTCAGGCTTTGATTCAGTTTGGTACATATTTTGACCATTCCTCTCTTTTCAACTTGCCAACTATTGACACAAACAACCTTGAACACTATTTAAATAATTACACAATATTTCCCATGTAAGGAAGAAATTTAGATACAGGGGTTGTGAAAGACAGCCTTGGCTCAAGAATTTGGCTTATGGATATGGGCACAACGCTACTGCGGTTTAAGTGAACTACAGAGATCACGGAAGGAAACTTGGATGGACCTGCAGGACTTCTCAAGAGTCATAACAAAAGGATCTGCCCAAATGTCCCACTCCTCTTGAGGAAAAAACTGATATCAGAAATCACGCTTTCTTAGAACAACCTGAAATTTCATGCTGAAATGGATTTATAAATATCAACTTCTGACTGAGTTCTGAGATACAGAGGAGCCCAGGTTTCATAATTAATATTTAGTTTTTGCACTATTTGCTTTTCTAATAGCACCAACATTATCTGTAGAATTTAGGTCCTTCCTGAGCAGCATTAACTCTCTGAACTCTCTCAAAAATATTCCACAGACAAACCAATAAAATTATGTTTAACAGACTAAGAAAGATTGATGTGAGTAATGGTCTAAATCTTTTAATTCATCAGAGGTCTACCTGGTACATATTTTGTAGGGTTTATCATTAATTTACTTAAAACATACTCAGATTAAGTTCTGTGAGAGCTGAGAGACAGCATTCTGCAAAGTAATCTGAAGTAACCAAAGTGATATTTTAAATCTGTCATCAGCAGTTTCAAAAGGCTACTGTCATGATAACTGATTGCCAGAATGTAGTATTTCTCTCTTCCTCTATCTTTTATGCCAGTTAGAGGTACGGAAAAGCCTGTGATCAGTATTATCAATTTTATACCAGATTATGATTTCTCAGCTAACAATTTAGGACATTTGGTTTAAATGTGTAAGCATGAACAGTGGAGTTATGGACTACTGACAAAACAAACAAACAAACAAACAGATGTTTCTAGTAATTTCACTGGACAATGAAATTATGGCAAAGATAAAACTGTGACAAGAGAATATTAGATATTTCTGTTTCAAAGAAAAAAATGGAAACTATGGGAAAAAAACTTCTTACCAAAACATCTAAGTGTGAAGTGTCATCTTTCTGCTACAAAACCATTGATGGTGAAAATAGTTTCTTGTCAGGCTATAATTTCATTCAAAGAAAGACTGAGTTGTGGTGAGCACACCTTGGCTCGCCACAGTAGAGTACTGCTTGTCTATTTACTCACTATGTGGTACGGATATATTTTCTTTAAGAAGCCAAAAATTCCCTCTATAGCTAATGAAGATTAACAAGCATCTCTCACAAAAGGCTCACTCCATCCAAAATCTGAATTACTTCCTCTGTGAGCTACTAAGAAAATCTGACATGGCCAAGTTCCTAATTTAAATGCCTAAATACGTAGGCTAAATTTAGGAACAATATCTGGGCAGCATTTGTGACAAACCGTAAAAGCTTAAGAGAACCAATGATGATAATGCAAGTTCTTATGTGTTAATGGCACAAAACAGACACTTTCAGAAAACTGATCAATCTACTATTAAGCAAATATGAAGACTTCATTTAAAGAAATCTAAAACTGAAAAATACTCAAATATATGCATTTTTTTTTCCCTCCCAGCTACTGACAGACTTTTGGATAACTACATGAATAGTTAAAAGTTTTCAGGTCACCTTGTAAGATATTGTTCTGTTAACATCGGTGTCTCAAAGCTTGCTGGAGACACAGACGGACTTGTTCAAGTCCAGGCAAGTCCTGGGCAGGGGCTGAGAAATCCTTTGTCTGGGGGAACGCAGATGGACAAGGCGAGGGGTAAGGAGAGAGAGATGAACTGCAGCTGAATAGCTGTGAAGTGCTCCTTTGTGTGGACTTATCTCAGGATGATGGCCATCTCAGGGGGTACTCAATGACTCTTGCTCAAGGCCCATCCTGTCCCGTAGGCAGGAGAACAAGTAGGATTAAAGAGGAATCGAAAGCCATGAGGATAGGTTTTCTGGCAACAGGTTCAAGAACAGGATTTCTGACAACAGATTCCTCACGAAGTGATGCCTACATGCTGAAGTAGAAGAAGAGGTCTGCCATCAGACTCCTCACACTACGGAATTCCTGCATGCAGACAAACTGTCCTAGGCCTGCTGCCTGAGCGCTGCTGCCTCCTCCCGCATTGGCTGTGCGGCTGCCTCCTGCTACCTGCTTGCTGCCCAAGTCCGGCCACGCTGCTGTTACCACCCCCCCTCCCCGCTGCTTCTGCCTCGGACCTTTGAAAGGTCTTGAAACGGGACCGCTGCTGGATCCTGGTGGTGAGTATCTCCGCTTTACGCAATTCTTGCTTCTTTCCTATCTTTTTTATCGCCCTCCTTCCCTTCCCTGTCTCCCTGATTAGGATTTGTAATAAACTCGATGGACTAACATATGAACTGTTGTTTCTTAATCTCACGCTGGTATACAGATATTAAAAGAACCTCATCTCCATCCTATAAATTGGAGCGAGATACACCTCTACCAGAAAGTTTTATTTGTTGTTGACTAATTCTTTATTTTATTCACAATTGGAAGATAAGGCCTTACATATGTAGTTATTACTGTGATTTTTCATCTTCTGGAAAAGGACAATTTACATATTATATATTGTAATATATCAACACTTGTTTTCTGGAAGAAAAATAAATGACCTATTAACAATAAGCCAGCAAAAGATACCTTGAGAGAGACTATGAGTGAAGATTTCACTTTATTTATAAATGTATTTGTGTATAGATTTATTTGGATAAAAGAATTTTTAGGTATTCTTCCTTAAGGCTTAGAAAACCCTATTCCAAACCATCCTAATATTCTGAATGGATTTGCTATGAAACAGCCTCAAGTTGAACTAGGTGAAGCTTAGATTGGATATTAGGAAAAGTTCATAAAATAAAGGGTGGTTAAGCATTGGAACAGTCTGGAGTCATCATCCCTGGAAATGTTAAAGGAAGCTGTGGACATGGTGCTTAAGGACATGATTTAGTGGTGAACTTGGTAGCATTAGGTTGGTGGTCTTAAGGGTCTTCTCCATCTAAGCGGCTGGACTTAGTCAATGATGGAATGTCTATATCTGCTACTTTACGCACAATAAAACAGTTTTCTAATGAAACATACAGAAATGGTTTTACTTTCAGTTTAAAATAAATGAACAGCAAATTTCATTACCTGACATCTTTTTCAAGTTCTGCAATGTGTTCCTTCTGTACACTTATTTGAGAATCTCTCTGTTGCACAGTTTCAACGAGGTATTTGTATGGCTGTTGTACTTGACTCAACAAAGAATTTGCTCTGTCAAGCTGACAAAGAAAAAAATCATTACTAATTTTTTTTACTAATAAGGACAGTAACTTACTACTGAATCACAATTATTACCAATTGTGTAGTAATATAAAAACCAAGCCCATTCTCTCAAAAAATGCCACAATCTATCTCCAAATCAGTATCTAGTAAATTACCTTCTTCCTTGTATTCTAATTTTTCTATATTTTCACTACAATCATGCTACCACTATCTATATTCTCCTAATGTGCATTTTCAAGAGTTTTAATTTAACAGCTTTCACTGATGGAAGAAAAAAATGAGAATAAACAAAGCCTCTGTTTGTTCACCTTACTGACCACATGTGACACTTGGAATGGAATTGAATCTAAATAAAAATGCAGTAATAATGGAAGAGAAGTCCCATTTTCTTTTATCGATAACAGTATAGAAACATCCCATAGGATGTTTAACAGAGTAGTTTAAAAGACTTCTCATTCCTGTAACGTAGGAAACAAAGCCTTCCTAGTCTTACATCCTACTCAAATAAAGATCACTAGGAATAAAAACCAAATATTAGCTTATACTGTTCAAGATACAAACCATGTAACAACATAATTCACTAAATACAGAATCAGTAATTTACTAAATTACTAATTTACTAATAGATAATTAAGTTCAAACGTCAAGATTTAGCAGTTCAATCTGCTGGAACACGCACAAGTCAAGAACATCAACTAGATTTAAAAGAAAATATACCAATTTTTTTAAATTTTGGTGTGAACATGTCTAATGGGAAGCTTAACCATTTCCAATGTATTTCTTCAATTAGTTAAAAATTTCTGAATAGATAAACAATCTGCATTTGCCAAATTGTTGTTCCAAGCAAGCAGGAAAAACAGACCCTACAATAACAACAAAAAACCCCCACCATCCTATTAAACTAGCCTAAGGAGTATTTCAGGACTTTAAGGTCAGATTTTTCTCTCAGTCCCCATTTTCAAAACATGAGGCTGTTGCCTGAGTTCTTTACTTTCTTCCTCTGATTCCCTTATATTTTACTGCAGTTTTTCTTCTGTTCTCTTAGTCAAATGTGCAAAGAACTTATAATCCAATGGTTTGTATTTACTAAAAATCAACATTTAGACAAAACTTTCATCATTCATCTTTGTGACCTTGCTAAAAGGGGAGTTAACTTCACATTTTAAAAAGGTGGAAAGAGAAAAAGTAGCACTGCACATCTTAAAAGTCATATAAATCTTTAAGTATTACTTAAATACATTATTTAGGGAAGTTACTCTAGTCTGCAGAGAATTAAAAATAAAAGGTGATCATCTTTTTGATGAAATAAATTGCCTTCAATAAATTGATAATCAACAACAAAATAAATTAAGCTATTAGCTTTCTGAGAGTGGAAGCTATCAAAAAAGATCTATATCAGGAAGACAACAGAAGGAGTCTCTACATGACAAAGAGATAATTTTGAGACATGGAATATCAATCTCCAGGCTGGCCTAAAATTTCAGCATAAAACCCTAGGACTGCCTTTAAAGAAGAAACAAAATCCAACATTTCTTGTTCAGACAATCACATTCCAGATAACCTAAAAAACTTCAAATGCTGCTTGGTGTGAAGTTCCTCAGTATTTTCAAGTACTTTGGTGGAAAATAACAAGTATTGCAAGCTTGTTTTGATGCTGCTAAACTCATTGGTTCTTTTGCTAATTTTACTAGCTAGAATGTATCACATTTAGTAAAAAAAGGCTGTCCCTTTCCATCATGGTGTTTCGCTATTTTTATTCTATACACTTCGAAGAGATCATCATCATTAAACTGGAATACATTAAGCACCAAATGCATGTATTGGATAAATTTTTACTTATACATACACATGTATATGAATTAACCGTTATCCTTGAGTAAAAAGCATTATTTTTTTTGTAAGCAACTCCGATTTCTACCTTAACGTACAAGATTCTTACATATTCAATCTTTTAGGATCTGAGACTTGAAGACCCCATACAGTAAAATAAAGCCTGAAATGGTATAATGGGATCAACTGATCAGTTTTCTTCTGCAGCTGAACTTTTACATTGGGTTCCAACTTCCAAGCAAGCACGCTGCTTAGCATAGTTCCATCAAATGAATGAATCTAAGGAGGAGTGCGTATTTTCTTCTTGGTTACATGAAACTTTTTGAGGAGATCAACACAAAAGCTTTTCTATATAGCTCACTTTCTATAAGAACTTAGCAATACTTCTTTGAGGATACTCCATAAAAAGAATCTTACAAAGAACACTTACTGTAGTTTTCATAATCTCCCTCCTTTCATATAGTTTTAGAAAGTTTGTATCATAACTACTACAGATCAATCCCAGTACTTAATCTGAGTTCAAAACAAAAGTTGGTCCAATCACTTTGTCATCAACATTCAATCTGTGTTCTAGATTCCACGTAGATGTCTTAACTAACTGTCAATGAAAAGAATAATGGACTACCTGAGCTTGATGTAGATTGGTTTGGTCTCTGAAACAATCAATCAATAAAGCAGGTACCATCAAGTAAAAAGTCATCCTAGCTCAGGGGATGCAGTAGAAATAGCAAACTGAATATTAAGAAATAAAAATCATAAAGATAACAACAACTTGCATAAGATATGAAATACAGATAATTTACAAGAGAAGTTAGTTTCGTGGGAAAAGTTGATACTAGTAGGCAAATTACTCTTAATAAGCAGCAAATAAACCCTAGAAACAACACAACCCACAATTGCAGAGATACAATAAAACTGAATATAATTTTGAAGAAAACACAATTTTCAGTAATGTTTTTGTCCTCTGCTTGAAAAGTCAGATCGTTAGTTTGTACACAAGAACAGTGAGCTACTTCCTAGCTCATAAGTGTAAAAAGTCTGTATGTATATTGAGTGGCAAGCAGAATGGTTGAAATAATACGTATGAAACTAAAAATCCAATAATCATATGTAAAAAAAATAAAAATGAAGCATTTACACATTAATGCCAAATATGAATTAAATAGAAAGCAAGTTTTAAAAGATTTATTATTTAACCTTGTAAGAACTTAACAGGCTTAGTAGCTGCTGTGCATTAGCTAAAAACTGTAAGATATTTAACTTATTACTGAGTCATATCCTGATTTAAAATGCACAATTACATTATAAAAGATCAAGAAAAGGCTACATAACATCCCATGAAAATTCTTCTATTCTTCCTAAAAAAAAAAAAAAAAAAAAAGGGGAAGTTGTTCTAATGGAATTTTGCAGGAATTTGAATGAAAGTCTGTAATTCTAAATCTTTCATTACTGATCTAGAAACAAATGTAAAACTGCAGCAGGTAAGAAAAAAGTCTACAAAAGTGGAAGCTAGACATTTATATGGAGAATAAAGCACAGATTTTATTAATGATTAAGAAAACTATCAAGGATAACACTGGATTCACCAATGCCCCTGAATCTTCAAGTCAAGAACATATGGCAGATATGTTTTACTCAAATACAAATTACTAACATGTATCTGGAAGAATGTATTAAAAAAAATCTAGTATTAGCTAAAAATAAATAAATAAACATTCACTGTTGACATATATTTGATTAAAATTAAACTAGATATATGTGATTACCTGTATAAAAACAAACACATAAGTACACATGTATTTTTAAACATGCAGACAATTCAAATATCTGTACTGTAAAGTACTTACATTGAATCACAGAATTATAGAATCACAAGTTTGGAAAGGGCCTACAAGATCATCTAAGTCCAGCCGTCCTCCCATCACCATTGCTACCACAAGCACTAAACCATATCTCATAGCTCCTCATCCAGATGCCTCTTGAACACCGCCAGGGACGGCGACTCCACCACCTCCCTGGGCAGCCATTCCAGTGCCTGACCACTCTCTGAGAGAAGAAGTTTCTCCTTATGTCTAACCTAAATCTCCTCTGGCACAACTTGTGGCCACTTCCTCAGGTACTGTTTGTTGCCTGGGAGAAGAGGCCAAATCCCTCCTCATCACAGCCTCCTTACGTGAAGTTGTAGAGTGCAATGAGGTCTCCTCTGAGCTTCTTCTTCTCCAGACTGAACAATCCCGGCTCCCTCAGCAGCTCCTCATAAGACTTGTGCTCCAGACCCCTCATCAGTTTCACTGCCCTTCTCTGGACACATTCCAGGGCCTTGATGTCTTTCTCGTAGTGAGGGGCCCAAAACTGAACACAGTACTCAAGGTGTGGCCTCATCAGTGTGGAATACAGGGGGATGATTACCTTCTTGCTCCTGCAGCATTTGTAATGCAGGCCAGGATAGTTATCCTAGTTTATAATTACCGTTAAAATAAAAAAAAAGCAGAAACAACCAAAAAAATACCACATTTCCAAAGCAGGTAGCCTTGAAATTTCATATGGTGGCACTACCTGACAGCAAATCAAGAAAGAGTTCCTTGGTTGCTAAGAGAAACCGGTAAGATAATCTTAAAAATATTTCAAAAAATTAGTTCAGCTTAATTGAGGAAGATTGCAAAATGATTATTTTACAATGTTTATTTGCCAAGTCAGTGTAATATGCAATTTCAGCTATTACGTACAGATGTATTATGAAATTTAACACGTTATAATACCTCAAAAAAATTGAACTTTTTTTTTTTTAACAGCTTATATCAAACGTTCCTTAGATTTGTATATTTGAAAGACTCAAAGTAGAAGAGGATTTAGAGAAATATCTTCAAATGTGATTTAAGGGCAGAGCTTTGTAAAATATAATGAAATATTTACTGAACAAACTAGTTTGGCTAGCTGGTTTTTTGTTCAGAAATCAGAACGTTGTCTGTCTGGTCTACATTCCTGTTTAGCCTACAAAGTAATCCCGTTTTTGATCTTCATTTCAAAATACAATATAAACTTCTTTCAGAACATTTACCATGGAGTTTTGGTTAATTATGAGGCTTTTTTTTTTTTTAAAAAAAAAAAAAAAATCAGATAATAAACAGTGTTTAGAAAATATTCCATTTTATGTACAGCTGTTCCACTATGTTTATAGTTTCTACACTTTATTTTTTAGCAATAATTTACCTCTTGTGAAATCTGTCTTACTTGTTCCTTCTGATGTTCCAGATCTTTTACAAGCAACGAGTTTTGCTTTTCTAGCTGCAGTAGCCTTCTTGCCAAGTGAACACTGTGCCAAGAAAAACAAGCTCAAGTTAATTTTTTTCAAACTATGCTAAATAAATTCTCACAATTGTACTTCAAAACTCGATTGCCTTAATTTTATACTAATACATAAACTATACAGTGAGACCATGCATAATCTAAGCTAACAACGAAAACATTACAGACTTCAACAGCACTGAAATAGCATTCCTGTAGTGACACCATAGTAATATTTTTAAAAAAGTCATTATTTATATTATTTGTAAAATACTTTATAATTGCAATAATCATGTCAGGATATTTCAACTAATCATGAATATTTACTTTTTTTAAGCTACTTTAAGGAATCACCATAAGTGCCATCTGCTTAAGTCAGTTTTAAAAATACATACAATGTATATCTTGTAGAAAAGCAACAAAAAATGAAATACTTGATCATTTTCTAAACAGACAAAATCATTTTGTCTGACATCTACTATGCTAGTTAAATGTCATTACCACTTTATTATTTTTATTTTTTAAATAAAAAATAGATCCACAAAAGAATTATTCAGCTGTGTAAGCACTACAACTTCTTGCATACTTCATGTCCAATATTAGAAGACTCCATCATCAATTCAATAGCATAGTTCCATAGACAGTAATGGGAAGATTTCACATACCTGGAAAGAGGCTTTGGAATTATATTTAACCCAGTCTTTTAATTTGTTATTACAGTCACTTAGCCCTATTCAATAGACAGGAGAACCTGAACATATTCCACTAAAACAGACTCTTGGATGCACTGAAATGTACTCAACTTCACTGTCTGTACTAATCAGAATTAAATTGATTACAACGGCTGGATACTAAGTCTCTGTCCTAAGGCTATGGTCAGATATCTAAATTTGTATTCAGATATTTATATTTATCCTGTAACAAGTCCTGTCATCTTTGCAGCATTCAGAAGCTTGGTAACTGACTGTAAAAAGATATACAACTCAAGAAAGTATCACTGTATGCCTCCATATTTAAGTAATCTAGCTACAAATCAACATACTTATCCCTTTACGTGCCTTAACCACTGAAATAACAGCTCTATACAACAATCTATTGTTTCAGTCAAATGCATGCCATTTTTTTCCAAAACATCTACATTGAAGAAAAGAGAGGAGTCACTCCAGTTCAGATCTTAGAATTAATGTATACCTTCCATACACTGAAAATGTGTACCTAAGTCGACAAAAAAATAACAAGTTTTGGACTATGATGCTGAAGATGTAAGAGTATAAGTGGTTTAGAGCTGACCAACTGGGAGGTTTTATTTGTTCATAAGTTGAGGATTAAAGTTAGATGTAAAGCTAGATCAGTATGTATTCTTTCTGAGAAAATTTGAGAAGTCATATTCACCACCTCCCTCTCTGTAAAAATGAACATACTTTTAGATTTGGTAGAACTGTTGATTTTAATTTCTTGATATTCTGTGTTACAATCCTACTCTCACACAGATTCTCTTTCACCTTTTGTGAGACAAATGACCTGAAATTGGCAATAGCACTCACTAGAATGTTGGTTCTCTCTCAGTTCCTCCAGAAAGAGTATCAGACTGTATAAACATTAACTGAGAAAAACAGCCTTCCCCAAGCTAGTTTTTCTGATTTTAGCTTACGAGTTATGAGATGTGCATGAGGATCCCATCTAGCAAAAAAACAGAAGTCAAACACTTCTGTAATATCTAGTCAGGGATCTTACATTAGACATTTTACATCTTACATTAATGTTTGGAGCACAAGGGGAAACAGCGATACCTTCCCATTGCAACTTGGGGAATGTAGAATCATAGAAATCATTAAAGTTGCAAAAAAAATAATCAAGCCCAACTGTCAACCTATCATAACCACACCCACTAAACCATGTCCTTAAGTGTCACATCTATACATACGTAGCCCATCATACTTATTCCAGTTACAGCTGTTCAGTGAACTTGATCAGAATGTGCAAGGATTTAAAGATAAGCACAAGTAACTATGTTAAGTATGCTTTTCGGTTTGTTTTTTTTTTCAAGTAGCTTAAATTTAAAACATAAAAAGGACAAAGGTCCTTGAATGTGTAAATAAACTAAACTGAACCTAATATGGTGAGGAAAAAAAAAAAGAAAACTCAGAAAACTTCTGAAATTTTAAGAAGTTCTCAGAAATTGGCATTTCCAAAGATGTTCTGGACATTTTTTTATTCCACTATAACAGAAACTAAACTCAAGAATGTGGTAATCCCAAACAGTTTTTAGGCACAGTGGAGGAGTTAATTTGGGCCAACAACCATTGTCATTCACATGCAGCTAACCTACACTGAGAATTCAGTTTTGTGAAAGTGTGCTACTACATGCTATTTCATCTCAGTGCTCGAGAATGTTCCCAGAAATACTTAATTTACTAGTATGGGTGTATGGCACTTACATACAAATACATGAGACAGTTGTTTCTGGCAAGTAAAAGCAAAAAAGTATAGACACCATCATGCATTACGCTTGAATAGACAGCTTTGCCTTTTTTCTAGAATTCTACTTAAGAGGGCTGCTCCAAAAGCAACGCATCCTTTTTTATTATATTGTCTCACAGCGACAGAGGCAGATGGTGGTATGGCAGCAGAACACTGCCATCAATATTAAGTTCCATTTTGTTCCCACACAACAGATGGCAGCAGAGGGGCAGTCTGACAAAATGGAGTCTGATGTGGGAGTGCATATAAAGCAAAGGTGTGGAACTGAATTCCTCCACAAGGAAAAAAAAAAAATCATACCCACTGACATTAATCAACACTTGCTGAATGTCTACAGAGATCAAACACTGGATTTGAGCACAGTTTCAGCAATGATGACAGTGACGCTAGGTCACCTCCAAAATGATGGCTGATGAAAAACAGTGTTTTGCAGTTAAGGACTTGCTCTATCACATAGTGTTATTGTGCTCTTCGTGGCTGTTATAGTTTCTATGGAAATAAGTAGAATGCATTACTTTTGGAGTGACATAGGTGGTATAAAAAGAAATTTTACTAAGGAACAGTATGATGAGGCATACAAATGCTAAAGAGCAAATTAAGCTATGCTAAACTTCAGTACTGCATAAAATCTTCATGATCCTTACAGCAATATGTAACTCAATACATGACAGGTCTGAATCTGATAGACAATACCGACAACATTTACTAAATTGGAAAAGGTCTTAAGCAATTGAATTTGCTCTGAGCAGGGTGCTGGACTCCACTAAGTTCCACGTGTTCCTTTCAGCCTAAATCATCCCGCCATTACATGATTTTGATCTTAGGTTATGTTTTCCTTTTATATTATTTGGGTATATTTTAAACAACTGCAGAGTATTTTTTTTTCTGTCACAGTTAAAAAATAGTATAAATCATGTCAAATATTGTAGATAAACCTACATTCCCTATCTTTCACAATGAGCTGTAGCCTTTATGCACACAGTGAACTATTTGAATGTCACCATTATTTCTTAAAGCCAATGTGTTGTATAAATTTATTATTTAAAAATGATTATGACCAAAAGGTACGTTATTTGGTCTACATGTTATTTTTATCTATTAATCAAATGGTATCAGAGAAAACTGAAAAACGTAACTGGAATCAAATGCTGTGTATGTAAAGATAAAACAATGCTCTTAAACTTTACTGTTCTTAATTTCCTGAAAGATATGTATTAAATACAGTACGTTATCTTCATCCTATTTCTGTATTCTTAAGTAATTAAGAAACTAGTCATTTTGGTTAACATAAAGAGGTTTTTAAGATTAAACATGCTGTATCTCTCTTCATCTAGTACTTTGTCTTGAATGAGTAAATTCAGAAAAGCCACTTGTTTACCTTTGCTTCAGTCGTCTTTTGGCTGTTGTAGGAACATTAGCACCATACCCATATGAGAAGAGAACCCTTTCAGCTTCAACTTCATTTTCCACTGCAGAAAATTGCAGAAAGGTACTATTAGTAAGATGTCCTTGTAAGAAAATAATTAGAATGCAAGAGCTTATAAAGTTACACATATGTTTTTTTTCCTGGAACCTACATTTTCAATTGTGAACTGCTATAGCCTCTGGTGCTTCAGTGGAAGAGTTTTGTTTACTATTAGCACTGACACAGTGCCATACATTCATGTTATATTACAGGCAGACTTCTCACTTTAAAAAAACAACAATTTATATTAAGAAATAATACAAAAGCAAGATAAAAATTCAGTGACTTTTCATATTCATATGTATGGTAACAAAATAGTAGTAGTAGTAGAAATTTAATTTGGCAGTAAAAAGTTAGTTGGTGATTTTTTTCTCCATAAATAATTCATTTTTTGTGTATTCATGAGGAAGTAGAGGAAGATAAAATCAGGTAGTGTTTAAGACAAATAGAAATAAGCAAGTCCATGGGATCAGAAGAGACAAATTCAAGGTTGCTGAGGAAACTGATGTCACTGTGTCTCAATCATTTTTGAAAGACCGTGGCATTCAAATATTTCTTATTGTCTGCAGAAAACAGATACTGTATCTGTCTTCAAGGATGGCTAGAATGAATGAGAAACTAGTCAGCCTCACACCAGCCTCTCAAATTCCAAGCATGGACAAATAGGTGGTTGGAACAGCTAGCAAAAAGAAATCATGTCTGACTAATTTAATACTCTTTTGTGATTAAACGAATGGCCACACCTTGACTAGGGTGAAGACAAAACCTTTGGTACAGTCTCGCATAGCCAAGTCTCTCTTAAAGCCAAGCAAGGTATGGACTAGGACCTTCGGGCTCAAATAATGGTCATTAGTCATACAGAGTCCAACTGATAGTCATTTACTATTGGAATCTCTCATGTTAATACCATTCAAAATCTTTACTAAAAATGCAGACAGTAGGATATTGTGCACCTTCAGAATGTTTCATAAAGCTAGCAGCTTAGGGAAGTGGTAAGATAGATCAACCGGGGGACAGAGCTGCTAGTCAGAGGGACCTAAAAAGGCTGGAGAAAAAAAATAAATGTACGAAAAATAACATTAAGGTTAAGCAAAGGCAAATACAGAATCTCACATCTGGGACCTAGATGCTAACACAGTTTGGGGATTGACTGTCTATAAAACATTTTGCAGAAAAAGATCCAAGGGTTCTAGAGGACAAGCTGATCATAAATTGCCTTGTAGCAAAGGACAACTACATCCAAGGCTGTATTAGCAAGAGCACAGCTGGATGGTCGAAGAAGGCGATCCTCCCCATCTACTCAGTATTTCTGGGGCCACATGTGGCTATGCTTAGTTTTGGGCTTCCTGGTGCACAAAAGATGTTGATGTATTGGAGGAAGTCCAGCAGAGAGTCACCAGGACAATGAGAACACTAGAGCATGTGACATACAAGTTCAAGCTTAGAAGAGATCTTGTTGCTCTGTCCCACTACCAGATGGGAAACTACAGTAAAAACAGGAGACAGACTCTTCTCAGAAGTGTACGGTGACTGGGACAAGCAGCAATCCTTCTTTTAGGTAACAAGTTCAATACTGTATTTCTCAGAAAAATGTCAAGGAAATCCTACCCTATAAATGAGTATCTACCAGTAATATACATATAAAAGTCATATCAGGAAAACAACATAGCATGTACCAACCCAAAATAATCTCTACCAGGATATGCTTGTGTTACCTTTTCTTTCTGGGCTCTTCACCTGACTCTGCAGTATACGATAAACATTTACTAATTAGGGACACACTCATTAATTTCATTCTTAAAGTGTGATTGAGAGGATACAGATAGCCTTAATTATTTTTCTTAAAAAGATGCCAACCAGTAAAAACCAAGGAAGTCATAGAATCACCATGGCTGGAAAAGACCTCCAAAATCATCCAGTCCAACTGTCCACCAGTATGTTTCTACTAAACCACTTCCCCTAGTACAATATCTAAATGTTTCTGAAACACTCTCAGGGACGGTGATTCCACCAGCTCCCTGGGCAGCCCTGTCCACCACCTGACCACTCTTTCAGAGAAGAAATTTTTCATATCATCCAACCTGAATATCCCCTGCTATAACTTGAGGCCATTCCCTCCAGTCCTATCACTGGTTACATGACAGAAGAAGCCAAGGCCCACCTTACCACAACTTCCTATCAGTCACAGAGAGCAATATGAAGTGTGCTGTGAGCCTCTTCTCCAGACTGAACAATCCCAGCTCTCTCAGTAACTCCACATAAGACCAGCGCACCAGATCCCTCATAGCATCTGCCCTGCTCTGGACATGCTCCAGAGCCACGATGTCTTTCTTGTAGTGATGGGCCCAAACCTGAACACAGTACTTGAGGTGCGGCCTCACCAGAGCAAAGTACATAGGGATGATCACTTCCCTGCTCCTGCTGGCAACACTATTTCTGATACTAGCCAGGATGCCACTGGCCTACTCGGCTACCTTGAATGTTCTGACTTAATAGGGACCTTTAAGTTACAATCCCCCTGCTATAGGCAGGGACACCTCCTTCTTGACCAGTGGCTCAAAGCCCCATGCAGCCTGGCCATGAATGCCTCCAGGGAGGGGGAATCCTCTGGGCAACCTGTTCCACTGTGTCACAATAAAGAATTTCTTCCTAATATCTAGTTCAAATCTACCTTCTTCCAGTTTAAGGCCATTTCCCCTTGCCTTGTTGCTGCATGTCCTTATAAAAAGTCCCTCCCCAGCTTTCCTGTAGGCCCCCATCAGGCACTGGAAGGCCACTATAAGATCTCCCCAGAGCTTTCTCTTCTCCAGGCTTAACAGACCCAGCTCCATCTTCCTGCCCCTGGGGGGGAGGTGCTCCAGCCCTCTGATCATCTTTGTGGCCCTCCTCTGGACATGCTCCAAAACTCCATGTCCTTCATGTGTTGGGATACTCAGACAATCAAATAATCAAAATAAAATACCTAATCTAAAACTAAAATTTTCCAATGTGAATATCTTACATTGAAAAGGAAGAAGAGAGAAATGCCAAGAAAGCTTATTGTTATTCACATGGAATATGTTATTCATGCACTTCAGCAAGGGCGTTGGACTAGAAGATCTCAAGAGGTCCCTTCCAACCCCTACAATTCTGGGATCCTGCAAAATTACTCAGTTGCTGTAAGGAGTGGCTATATAAATTCTTGATCGTTTCCTGAAGAGGCTGTTTCATGTTACTTCAATATTAATAAAGTGAAGCATACTGATGAGGGAATAAACGATAAAAATGCAGTGATCCCTTCCACATTTACATTCTCTGAAGTAAGATCATATGGTTACATGACAAAATCCACCTCACGTGTACAAATACAAAGCTTTCTAAAAGGTCCACAAAATTTGATGATCAACCCCTCACACTCCAACACTCCTAAACAACAGAAACAACAGTGAAACAACAGAGGCTTCATAACCCACAGAAAGGGAAAAAGACTTATCACACTGTAATGTAAAAACACGATCACAAGACTAAAAAGCAAAATCTTGTTCTCATTATAGCTTATAGGAAATTCCCACTGTCTTCCACATCGTGCATCAGCCTATATAACATTCTTTGAAAGACTGGAAAATTTCTAGAATGCCTTAAATTTGAAAATCATGTAGTTTTCCTTCATTCAAATATTTTTTTGACCTTCTGTTACGACATGTAAATGCCAGGTCTTAATTTAGGAAGTAGGAGAAAGTATGTCTGTATTCTTCAAATATTTTGAAAAGAAGTAAGGCTTTTATTTTCTCTGATTTACCTCAGAACTTCAACTTAGTGCTGGAATTCTGTCATAAGTATTACTTCTAACTTTCAATGTCAAAGATACAATAGTAAGAATAAGCAATTATATTAGTTATATATATATAGTAAAAATAAGCAATATATTGAAATAATCAGAACATCATAGAATAGTTTACGTTTGAAAAGACCTCAAAGATCATCGAGTCCAACCACAACCTAACCACACTACCCTAACTCTAACAACCCTCTGCATGTGCCTGACTACCACATCCAAACTGTTTTTAAGCACATCCAGGGATGGTGACTGAACCACCTCCCTAGGGAGCCTATTCCAGTGCTTAACAACTCTTTATGTAAAGAATTGTTTCCTGACATCCAAACTAAACTTACCCTGGTGCAACTTGAGGCCATTTCCCCTCATCCTGTCACCAGCGAGAAGAGACCAACCCCACTCTCACTGTAAGCAGCTTTCAGATATCGGAAGAGAGCAATAAGGTCTCGCCTCAGCCTCCTTTTCCCAGACTAAACAGCCCCACTTCCTTCAGTCTCTCCTCGTAGGGCATATTCTCCAAGCCCTTCACAAGCCTTGTTGCCCTTCTTTGGACCTGCTCCAGCACCTCCATGTCCTTTCTGTACTGAGGTGCCCAAAACTGAACACAGTACTTGAGGTAAGGCCTCACCAGTGCTGAGTACAGGGGCAGGATGACTTCCCTATCTACTCACCACACGATTCCTCATACAAGCCTCATACATGGCCACCTGGGCTCGCTGATGGCTTATATTCAGCTGACTGTTCATCAGTACACCAAGGTTCTTTTCCATCAGGCAGCTTTCCAGTCACTCCTTCCCAAACCTGTAGGGTTGCCTGGGGTTGTTGTGACCAAAATGCAGGACCTGACACTTGGCACTGTTGAAACAGTTAACCTTGGCCCAACGATCCAGTCTATCCAGGTCCCTCTGTAGTGCCTTTCTCCCCTCTGGCAGCTTAACACTCCCAACTTGGCGTCATCTGCAAACTTACTGAGGGTGCATTCAATCCCCTAATCGAGATCATTATTAAAGATATTAAACAGAAGCAGCCCCAGTACTGAGCCTTGGGGGACACTGTTCGTGACTAGCCACCAACTAGATTTAAATCCACTGACCACAACTCTTTGGGCCCAGCCATCCCCAGCCAATGCTTCACTCAGCAGAGTATACACCTATCCAAACCATGGGCAGCCAGCTTCTCCATGAGAATGCTGTGGGGGACAGTGTGAAAAGCTTTACTGAAGTCCAGGCAGACCACATCAACAGCCTTACTTTCATCCACTAAGCGGGTCACCTTGTCATAAAATGAAATCAGGTCTGTCAAACAGGATCTACCATTTGTAAACCCGTGCTGACTGGTCCTGATCCCCTGGTTGACCTTTAACTGGTCCATGATTGCTCCCAAGATTATCGATTCCATAACCTTCCAGGCACTGAGCTGAGACTGATAGGACTATAGCTACCAGAATCATCTTTCCAGCCCTTTCTAAAGATAAGCATCACATCTGCCAGTCTCCATTTCCCCAACACATTTCCGGTTAGCCAAGACTGCCAAAGAATGATGGAGTGTGGCTTGGCAACCACATCGGCCAACACCCTCAGCACTTTCTTCACAGTGATAACAATCTTCCTCCCTGGGTAGTCATGTGAATAGGTGGCTTATGGTTTCTCCTTGTCTGAATGGCCCACGTGATTCACATATCCGACTCCTCTCCATCCCTGAGGCTTTTTCTAGACAGGGAGCATGGATGCAGAGCAGTTGTCCTGACAACGCCCACTTAACATCAGCCACTCTCGTGAGAGCTGCCGGGCTGCTCTGTTACCTCAGGGTTCCCTGATCAAAGAACTGACTGAAACCCTCCTGTACCTCATGGTCAATTACTGCGGTTCTGGCTGGAACAGCTTTGAAGCAGCGAACCTTGGCGATCAAGCAATATTATTGTGCTATATCTCCCTTTTTACCTCCTCAAAATGAACCAGAATACAAACTGTTGTTAAATATACAAATTGTTGTTAAACAAGTGCATTTGTAAACTTTGACTTCTTTAGGTGATCATACAATGACTTCACAAGAATCACAAGAATCACAAGGTTGGAAACGACCTATAAGATCATCCAGTCCAACTGTCTCCTCATCACCATTGCCACCACTAGCACTAAACCATATCACGCAGCACGTCATCCAGACGCGTCTTGAACACTGCCAGGGACGGCGACTCCACCACCTCCCTGGGCAGCCATTCCAGTGCCTGACCACTCTCTGAGAGAAAAAGTTCTTCCTTATGTCCAACCTAAACCTCCTCTGATACAACTTGCGGCCATTGCCCCGTGTCCTGCTCGTTGCCTGGGAGAAGAGGCCAAATCCCTCTTCACCACAACCTCCCTTCAGGAGGTTGTACAGTTCAATGAGGTCTCCCCTGAGCCTCCTCTTCTCCAGACTGTACAATCCCAGCTCCCTCAGCCGCTCCTCATAAGGTTTGTGCTCCAGACCCCTCACCAGTTTTGTTGCCCTTCTCTGGACACGCTCCAGGATCTCAACATCTTTCCTGGAGTGAGGGGCCCAAAACTGAACACAATACTCGAGATGCGGCCTCACCAGTGCTGAGTACAGGGGGATGATCACCTCCCTGCTTCTGCTGGCCACACTATTTCTGATGCAGGCCAGGATGCCGTTGGCCCTCTTGGCCACCTGAGCACACTGTCGGCTCATGTTCAGCCGAGCATCAACCAACACCCCCAAGCATCAACCAACACCCCCACTTGTGTTGGAAGGGACTGTAAAAATCTAGTTTCAACTCCTGCAACCATGGACAGAGCTGACACCCATTAGATAGGCTACCCGAGGCCTTGGACACCTTCAGGGGTATGGCATCAACAGTGTCTCTGTTCCAGCGCCTCACCTCTCTCAGAGTGAAAAGTCTCCTCCTAATATCTAACCCAAATTACCCTCTTTTAGTTTAAAACAGTTCTGCCTTGTCCTATCACTATCAGGCTATGTAAAAAGTCACTCTCCATGTTTTTTTTTTTTTTATACGCACTCTTTAAGTACCAACATTCTGTAGCTTACAAATATAATTAGAACATTATTTAGGAAGAAGTTAAGAACTATTCAGTTTTGTAAAAAAAAAAATTTACTACCATAAGGTGAATGAGAAAATGCGAAGCACTGTAAGCAGAAAACATTATTCTTAAGTTCATTTTCACCTTGCAAAAAAATATCTACAGTGTATTAAATGAGCAAAAGTACACACATCTGCACACCCTAGTTATTGAAGGCTGCTAGATGCCACTAAATCCCACTAATGCATACTTAGCTGTAAACTAATGTTTCCATTTAAAGTTTATGTAACTATCTCCTACCTGTAAAACATCATTTATAATTATTCTTTTTAGAAGAGAAAATGAAGACAGAAGGGCAAGAAGATCCATAAATTAGTTTGAGAAATTAAAATGGCCTATTATCATCATACACTGGCTAGAAGACTTCAGGATTAGAGTCCTAACTTTGAATTAGAAAACAGCTGCTTTGTTGATTCACCTAAGGTAAAGGAGATGTCTCTGTTTCTGACCCCAGAGATATCACAATTTCTACTCTTTGAGAACAGATATTGTTATTTTGGCCAACCAGAGAGGAAAATTTTCCAAAGTAATCAGATCAGAAGCAAATCACTGGTTTAGTACTTACAGCAGGATGAATTGCCATTAGTAATTAGAACAGATTGATTTGCCACTAGCAATGACTTCACAGAATCACATAAAATTAGAGAATCATAGGGACTGAAAGGGATGTCTGAAAATCATCTAATCCAGTTCCCCTACTAAAGCAGGCTCCCTAGAGTACACTGCACAAGAAAGTGTCCAGGAAGAAATCTCCAGAGTATCTCCAGTAGAAAGAGACTCCACAACCTCTCTGGGCAGTCTGTTTCAATGCTACGGCACCCTCAAAGTAGACAAGTTCTTTCTCATGTTCATATAGAACGTCCTGTGATCCAGTTTGTTCCCATTGCCCCTTGTTCTGTCACTGAGCACACTGAAGTTGGCCTCATCCACTTGACACCTGCCCTGTAGGTATTTATAAGCATTGATAAGATACCCTCCCAGTCCTCTCTTCTACAGGCTTAACAGTCTCAGGTCTCTGAGCCCTTCCTCCCAGCGGAGATGCTTTAGGACCCTCATGATCTTTGTGGTCTTCAGCTGGACTCTCTATAGAAGTTCCCTGTCGTACTTGAACTGGGGAGAAAGAACTGGACATGGTACTCCAGATGTGGCCTCACCAGAAACAGAGTAAAATTATTTAACACAAGAAATAACTTTTTTCCCATAATTAATTAAAAAAAAAAATCACATTTATCACTCTGCTATATTATTAAACCTATAGTTGCTTGTCAGCAAAGCTTCCTGTTACTCAAAATATTTGATAGAGGAATTCTAAAAACAAAACAAAACAGAAACCCAACAAACTCATAATCTTAATGAATAATTAGAACAGGCAAAAGAGAAATGAGGGGAAAAAATGAGATGATTTTTAACATCCATACGTCTAACATCATGTTTATTTGATAGATATTTAAAAATATATGTATATAAACTTGTCATTAGTATTTTCTATCAAAATAACTATATCTTCTTAATTTTTAGGCATGAGGAAGGAGAATAGCAGACACTAAGTGCTGTAAGATATAAGATATTGCCAGAATTCTAGAAACACCTACAGATGTAATTTGTATCAGAACTTACTTTCTGCTGTCTGCATTATTATCTCATCAAGGTCTTTTTCAAGTTTTTCGTAAGTATCTAGTCTTGCCTGAAACTCAGAATTCTGTGTTTGAAGTTCAATAATGCGTGTTTCACTAGAAGACTGAAGACTGTAAAATTCCTTGGTGAGCACCTGTGAGAATGAATAATGAAAATATCACTGAAAACAGCATGACAGCTGTTTATGAAAAAGGTGAAAACCCACATGTAAATTAATCAGCAACAGAATACCAAACAACAATAATGTATCACATTTGATGCAACTTTTGCACAGGTACAGTAAAATAATTGAAAAAAAATTAGTTCTTTTCAGCTATGTTATCTTGCACAGACTACACTCTCATGTCTTATAACACTTTATAGAATCATATGACTATTTGAACTTGAAGGGACTCTTAAAGATCATGCAGTCCAATTTCCCTGAAATGAACAGGGACACCTACAGCACTATCAGTTTGCTCAGAGCTCTGGGCAACGTGTTTCAGTGCTTCAGTCTTACCATAAAAGACTTCTTTCTCATTTCCAATCTAAATCTCCTCTGTTGTATTTTGAAACAATTCCCTCTTGTCCAATCACAGCTGACCCTGCTAAAGACTCTGTCCCCTTTCTTATTGCCTCCCCTGTAGATACTGAAAGGCTGTTATCAGGTCTCCCCAGAATTTCCTAATGCCTTTGTCTCAACTTGGAAAAATGGCAGTAATTTTAAAGAGCAGTTACAACAACCAAAGCAATAGTTACAAAAATTAATAGAGAAGTTAAAAAAAAAAAAAAAAAAAGACTGTTTCTTTTTTGTTGATTCAATTACATTCATATACCAGTAACCAATTTACTAGATTGGTTCCTTTATGGAATAGTAAATGCACAAATAACGAGATTTGTTATTTAAGTTATATCAGATTCTTATTATTCACTCATTATTGAAAAGTAATACATCATGAGCATTTGCAATTAACGTAAATACTTAACCTACCAACATTTTACAAAAAAGGGACATATTCAAAGTTAAAAGTTAGGAAGTTCTGTATACAAACTAAAGCTTAACAAGAAAGCTAAGTGATATGGTGCTTGAAAATAGAAAAATACAACATTGACAAATAGCGTAAAACCAGCTGGAATGAAAATCTTCGTTTAGTGAAGTAGCAATCTATGTACTGTGTACACAGCAGTAATGCTGTATGCAGTCAGAAATACGAAGCTATCCACAGTATTTAGGGAAATAAGCAACACAAATATAAAAACATGGAAAGCATGTTTTTATATCTATTATATGATATATATATCATCAATCTATTGTCCTAGAAGGCTACATTTATAGGTCAAATTTTGGCAACATATAAAACAGTTTCATAGTTTAGGATGTTTAAGAGAAACTATGCTGAAATCCAATTAAAAACAGATTTTTTTCATGAAGCAGCTACAGCTCTATAGCTGAGTCCTAAGTTACTGGCGACTACATTAGTCAAAATTGATATGCTGTACAATATTAACATTAATACACTGATCGTGTATTTTAGAAAAGAAATATAAGAAATCAGTCAAAAGGAACAAATGCAAAAAAAAAAAAAAAAAGGATTTCAAGTGTTTAAATTCTGCAGTAATTCTCTGTAACGAGAAAGCATTGGTTTCAAGGCATATCTCTATCAGGAAAAGGAAGTGCCAGGAGAACTAATACAGCTGAACGCCACATATTCAAGAGTTTATTCAAATCAAATAAATATCCAAAGAAAATGGAAACACAACTCAAATGCAACTTCCTTACTCAAAGTTTAGACATGTCTGTGCAATTAAAATTTATTTAGTAACCTCAAAGTCTAGCACAGCTGGCACTCCCAGTGCTCATGACCACAACTAACCTCATCAGCCAGGATCTGAATGTTCCAATACAGACAGAACAACAAGAAATTACATTTCATCTAAAGCTTTGTTTCCACTCTGTAAGTGTTTCCACTCTATAGCTCCTTTTCATAAACATCCCAGTAATGCAGAATCTCCAACAACAGCATATTTCCCCCCCAAAACAAAGACTGAACTAGCTGAAATCTAGAAAAAAAGAGTTCTTATTCTGTTCTACTAAGTTTGTGTAGCCTACTGTCTGTTTTACACACACTGTCAATTTCATTTAAATCTCACAAATTGGATGCTGTGGTATGTTTTCAGGACTAACTTTGAACAGATGAAGAAATTTTGTTTTGATGTAAGTTTCCTCTGCTGCCGACTGGACATATTTTCAATACTACAGTTAGTCAAACAGGATATATTACATTTTTTGAAAGTACATATTTGAAAGAGAATAAATTCTAAGCTTGTTTAGATAGAAAGGTCCAACTCACTGAACTTCATGTAAACAGATGTAGTGGGTGTAAGTATCAAAATGCTGCAGTCTCTTGATTGTGTAAATTTTATCCATAGTGCATATAGCGTATTTGCACACTAGTGAAATTTTATATACATGTCTTAGATTCATGTGGGCTAGAATTGTTTTTTTTAGAGTGTCTGGTACAACACTATGTTTCGGTTCCAGGAGAAAAGCAATGTTGATAATAAATTGATCACAGAATCATCAAGGTTGGAAAAGACCTTCAAGATCATCCAGTCCAACCATCCACTTATCACTAATAGTTCTCACTAAAACATGTCCCTCAACACAACATCTCAACATTCCTTGAACACCTCCAGGATTGGTGAGTCCACCACCTCCCTGGGCAGCCCATTCTAGTACCTGACCACTCTTTTAGAAAACCAGTATTTCCTAATGTGCAGCCTAAATCTCCCCAGTACAGCTTGCAGCTGTTCCCTCCAGTCCTATTACTAGTTACACAAAAGAAGAGATTGAGCCCCAGCTCACTATAACCTCCCGTCACGTAGTTATAGAAAGCAATAAGGTCTGTTTTTGATGCCATTGGCCTTGGCCACACTGAAGGCTTATGTTCAGCCAAGCATCAATCAATATACTTCAGGTCCATTTCCTCTACACAATCTTCCAGCCACTCTGCCACAAGCCAGTAACATTGCTTAGAGATGTTGTGGCTGAAGAGCAGGACCTGTGCACTTGGACTTGTTGAACCTCACCCCATTCACCTCAGCCCAGCGATCCAGATCCCTCTGTAGGACCCTGCTGCGACCAAGCAGATCGACACTTCCTGCCAGCTTGATGTAATCTGCAAACTTACTGAGGGCACACTCAATGTCCTCACCCAGTTGATCAATAAAGATACTGAAGATACTGAGGACAGGCACCAGTACCGATCCCTGGGGAACACAACTCGTGACTGGTCGCCAGCTGGATTTAACTCCATTCACTACCACTCACTAGGCCTGGCCCTCCAGCCAGCTCCTCACCCAGCACACAGCTTACCTGTCCAAGCCATGGGCTGCAGCTTCTGCAGGAGAATACTGAGGCAGAGACTGTGGGAGGCTTTGATGAAGTTAAGGGAAATCACATCAACAGCCTTTCCCTCACCATCCAGGCAGGCCACTCCATCATAGGAGATCATGTTGGTCAAGCAGGCCCTGTCCTGCACAAATCCATGCTGGCTGTGCTTGATCCCCTGGTTGCCTCACACATACTGTGTAATCTCACTCAAGATGATCTGCTCCATAACCATTCCTGGCACCGAAGCCACGCTGACAGGCTGTAGGACCCCAGATCCTCCTTACAACCCTTGTAGAAAAGTCAGATTGGCAAGTCTCCTGTCTTCCGGGACCTACCCAGCTGACCAGGAATGCTGACACATGATGGAAAGCGGCTTGGCTATCATCGCCACCAGTTCCCTTAGCACTTTCAGATGGATCTCATCCAGCCCCATGGACTTGTGGCAGTCCACATGGAATAGTAGGCCTCTGACTGCTTCCTCCTGAATCATGGGGGATTTATTCCTCTACCCATCCGAGACTTCCTAGTCAGTGAGTAGAGTACCCTGATGATAACTGGCTTGACTTTTAAGGACAGATGTAAATAAGGCATTGAGAATCTCAGCCTTTTCCCTATCCTCGGTGGCCACATTTCCAGATGCATCCAGTAAAGAAAGGAGATTCTCCTTGGTCCTCCTCTTACCGTTAATAAATTCATAAAAGATTTTCTTGTTCCCTTTTACCCCAGCCAAGTTGAGTTCAAGCTGGGCTTTTGCCTAATTTTCTCCCTGCTCATCCTACCAACTTCTTTGTACCCTCTCCAAGTTGCATAGTGCAGAGCCAAGGCCATTTTTAGCAAAGGCCTCAGGGAGCTAGGATGGAACAGAATTAGGACAGCTGACTAAAAATGACCAAAGGGATATGCCATTCCTTATGATATCATGTAGAAGCAGTTCTGAAAGAGGTGGGAGTTAATATCTCTCTCTTCCACTGCTCAGGTGACTAGCATGGGACTGATCAGGTATGGTTAGCAATTGCTTGTGCATCTCTTGTCATGTATGCTCACATAAATATATAAATGGTCATAACTATTGCCCTTCTCCTTTTCTCTATCCTTAGTAAACAGTTTTATCTCAACCCCTGAGTTCCACTTGTATTTCCAGATTCTTTCCCCCATCCCACTGGGAAGGGCGGAAATGAGCAATGGACTGTGTGGTGCTTAGCCACCTGCCAGGTTAAACCACAACACTATGTTATTGAAGTTAGGCTCTTGAATTTGTGATGTATTTTCAAGTGCTGACACAATACATTGGTGTTTCTGAGGTATGTTTTCTTTTTTTTTCCCTTAATATCATTTATTTTACCTAATATATTCTATTCTTTTAGGTATTGGAGGGCCACTATAACATTCCCCAGAGCCTTCTCTTCTCCAGACTGAACAGCCTCAGCTCTCTCAGCTTCTTTCATAGTAGAGGTGCTTCAGCCCTCTGAACATCATTGTTGAAAGTTTTTTAAAACAGGCTGTTTTACAAAGGTTGTCAATGCAAACCTATAATTATACTGATACTATTTTTCAAATTGTTTTCCAAAACTTAGTTTTATCATTACTTTTATTAAGGTTGTAGGCTTCATATTAATGTTCTCGTAACTGTTGTGGATAGCAAAAAGGAAGAGATAATACAGAAACAGTAATTTCTTGAATAGAATCATAGAAGTTGGAAGAAGCTCACAAGGACCATCGAGTTCATCTATCTGCACAGGGCAAGCTAAATCCATATCTAAGAGCACTGTCAAACACTTCTTGATCACTGATAGGCTTGGGGCCACAAAAGCTTCCCTGGGGAGCCTGTTCAAGTGCTTCATCAGTCTCTCAAGAAATAACTTTTTCTTAATATCATAAAATCATATCATAGAACAGCCTGGGTTAAAAAGGACCACAACGATCATCTGGTTTCAACCCTCATGCCACTTGCAGGGTCAACAACTACTAGACCAGGCTGCCCAGAGCCACATCCAGCCCAGCCTTGAAGGCATCCAAGAATGGGGCATCCACAACCTCCTTGGGCAACCTGTTCCAGTGTGTCACCACCCTCTGTGTGAAAAACTTTCTCCTAATATCTAACCTAAGCCTCCCCTGTCTCAGTTTAAAGCCATTCCCTCTTGTCCTGTCACTATCCACCCATGTAAACAGTCATTCCCTCTCCTGTTTATATGCTCCCTTCAAGTACTAGAAGGCCACAAATGAGGTCCCCCCAGAGCCTTCTCCTCTCAAAGCTAAACAAGTCCAGTTCCCTCAATCTTTCCTCATAGGAGAGGTGCGCCAGCCCTCTGATCATCTTAGTGGCCCTCCTCTGGACCCACTCCAAGAGCTCCACATCCTGCACTGGGGAGCCCTGGCCTGGATGCAGTACTCCAGATGGGGCCTCACAAGAGCTGGCTGGGGGGGGGGGGGGTTGGCGGGGGACACAACAGACACAATCACCCCCTGGCCACCCCTTTTTTAAGGCAGCCCAGGATTGTGAGAATCCTTCTTTGTTTTTTGGCTCAAAGCTTGCTTCCTGAGGTATTTCTTGTGATAAGACTGACTCATCTAGGAGATGAGTGATGGGTGTTGCCATGTGGCAGTCAACATAGCTCTGTGGACAATTTTACATTTGAAAACATTTCTTTGGAGTTGTGTGCCTTTGAAAGATAGTGCTCAGGACTGTTTACTGGTGGAAGATTTAGCCTGTGACCAAATAACTCCAGCTTGCTATGGGAGACTGGGGGGTGATGCCACTGTATCCTGTGAAGGCAAGATATAAGTGTGTGCCTCCCTGCTCCCTTTTACCTGCTGGCAAGGCCCAGAAGATGCAAACAAAGAAGTTTCCTGCTGAGATCCCAGAGCCAGAATCTGCCACTCCAACTAGAGCTGACTCAACCACTTTGGACTTATTATAAATAAGTTTGTACTACCATTGAAAAGTTGCCATCATTGCCGTGGTCACCATCATCGTCAACAGAACAACAATGTCTGACAGCCCACCACTACTGAAGATCAATGACTGAACTATGTACCACGCTGGATTCATGGTGGTAACTATCTCCCTCTTGCTTTCTATAAGGACTCCTTGCTTCCTCTTTCTTGTCTTTTCTATCACCCTCCTTCCCTTCCCCATTACCCTAATTCATAGTAGTGTCCATCCTCCCCTTCTCCATCTCCATGATTACTATCTGTAATAAACTAGTCAGACCAACATTTGAACTGCTGTTTCTCAATCTCACACCAAATATACAGATATTAAAAGAACCTCCACTCCCTCCTATAAATTGGAGCAAGACAAGGATGTAGTTGGCTATCTGGACTGCAAGCGCACACTGCTAGCTTACGTCCAGCTTCTCTTCCACTAGGACCGCCAAGTCCTTCTCCACAGGGCTGCTTTCAAGGCGTTCTTCCCCTAGTTTGTATAAATACATGGAGTTGCCCCAACCCAGGTGGAGCACCCTGCATTTGGCCTTACTGAATCTCAGTAGGTTCACATGGGCCCACTTCTCCAGCCTGTCCAGGTCCCTCTGGATGGCTTCCCTTCCTTCCAGTTATTGACTGCACCACTCAGCTTGGTGTCATCCACAAACTTGTGAGGGTGCACGTGATGCAATTGTCTGTGTTATTGATGAAGATGTTGAAGAGCACTGATCCCAAGACAGACCCCTGAGGGACACCTCCATCCTGACAAAGAACCATTGGCTGCGTCCAATTCCTAATCCATCAAACAGTCCATCCTTCAAATCCACACCTCTCCAATTTAAAGCGAAGGATGTGGCAAGGGACCATGTCAAAGGCTTTGCAGAAGTCCAGGTAGATGACATCTATTGCCCTTCCACCACCCATGATGCCATCACTCCATCATAGAAGGCCACCAGATTGGTCAGGCAAGATCTGCCCTTGGTGAAGCCATGCTGGCTGTCTCAAATCACCTTTTCATCTCATATGTGCTTTAACATGGTAACCAGGAGGATCTGCTTCATGATCTTCCCAGGTACAGAGGTGAGGCTCACCAGCCTATAGTTCCTTGGGTCTTCCTTTCTCCCTTTTTTAAAAATGGGAGTAATGTTTCCCTTTTTCCAGTCACCAGGGACTTCACCAGCCAGCCATGATTTTTCAAATATGGAGAGTGGTTCGGCAACCACATCAGCCATCTCTCTCAGAACCCTAGGATGGATATCACCTGGCCACATGGACTTATATACATTCAGTTTCATGATGAGGTCTTGATCTTGTTCCATTGTTACAGTGGGACAGAATCTGTTCCACTTCCTCTTGGTGTATGGATAACCTCTAATAAGATAACGGCTCTTGTCATGAGCTAAGAGTAGCCATAGCAGGATAGTGCTTAGGGCTGTCCACTTCCAACTGCTTTTCTGTGATCCTTTGTGAAGGTAAAATTTTTAGTCATGTAACAGTACTGAGTAAGTGCGTCCTGAACGAAGTAAAAGAAATAGCTCTTCTACAGAAAAAAAAAAAAAAACATTCATTTTTTCCACTTAATTTTAGAAGGAATGAGTTAAATAAAAAAGGGTTTTAATTGCCACCTATTAATGAATGCAGAGCTGTTCAAGAGAGCTAGCAAGCTATTACCCTTGTGTGTAAGGGAACTCAAAACAGCTTATTTTTCATCTTGCACAAATAGATTCTGAAGGATCTGCCAGAGATCAAATATCCATATCTAATTATGACAAACTGGATTCCTCTGGATATGTCTCCTACAAAAGAGTCTGAACGAACTTCTTCTAGCAATACCACTATAATAAAAGGACAGTAATAGAAGTTCTACTAAATCAGTTTGGTTTACTCTACTGTTATTAAATAATGTAATAGACTTTACAAAGTTCTCTATGCTTCCAAGGAACGTCTATGCTTTTAAGAAGTCTATATACTTTCAAGAGAATTTCACCATATCACCATTTTTTTTGCTCTAAAATTGTTCTACTTACTACTGGTATTGAAGTTCTAATACATACTTGAAAGAATAAAATAGAAAGACATTTTCTTATACATTATGTGTTTAGCTTTCTAAAATGGAATTAATAAGCAGTTTTATACAAGCCAGATTAAAAGACAAAGGATTTATCAGTAAGGATGCATCATAAGGACCTACCCTTTCCAACTGAAGTATCTAATGCTAACATATGACATGCAGAGATAATTTCTATGATGGATACCGTTAACCTAACACACACGTCTTAAACATCTCACCATAAGAAAATGTTTTGCTTTCTTCTTTCCTTAGTTTTCCCTAAAACAGTATAGCTTGGTAAGCTTTTTCAAAATGTTCTGCTTCAGCACTGTTTGGTGGAAATACTAACTCAACCACGTACATCTTTTGGTGATGTCATCTTTTCTTCCCCCCCCCGGCCCCCCCGCAAGTTTCTTCATTTTGAACTATAATTGAAAACAACTTTGTAATGCCTCATTAAGTATTAATAACATACCTCCAACTTTCTCTGATATTTCTCACATTCTATTTGGCACTGTGAAAGATTCTTAGCTGTTTCTTGTTGCATGAGTTGAATATGTTCACTTTCAAAGGACTTTAACTTACTTTGGTGAAGAAGTTCAGATACTTTGCTTTCTGTGCCAAGCTGCATTTGTCTATACCTAAAAACAAACAAACAAAAACAACAACAACAACAAAAAATTTTGAATCTTCAAAACATCTGCTTGTTCTGTTTTGAAATTTATACCTGAAATGAAATTGAGAGTATTTTTAAGAGTTTGGTAAATACAAGTTAGTTATCTATTTATAGTTGCTTATCTAAGTACCATTGGATAGATGACTACAGAACACAGCAGGTAGAAAACTCAGTCCATGGCTTTGCTAAATTTGTGGATTGGTAATGCAAAAATCAAATGACAGTGACCTTAGTTTTTAAAAATATTACATCAACATGAATTTTCTTTTCAGTATAGATGTGTATACATTCCATACCTCTAACAATGAAATCTTTAAAAGACACAGGAGAGATACCAAGGAGGCTATTGCCTCTTCTCCACCAACTGTAATACGTGATCCAGAGAAGTAGTGTTAGACACCAACGGAACCAAGGCTGCATTCCCTTAGGTTTATCTTGGATATGTGCTACACTAATTCTTCCCATAACCGAAGACAGAAAGAAACCAGACCATGACAGTTTATTATTTCCACAGTCAACCTCAGGTTGAAGACTATCTAACAGGAATTAAGCTATCAGACAAATAGTATTCCACTTAGAAGCAGGTATCTGTTGTTCCACTCCTTATGCTTAATAGGCAATCTCAAAAAGGTTTCTAATGGAATACTAAATTACTGGACTGTAAAAATGAAGTTGATGTGAATAACAGTAGAAAACCTTAAGAAGCTGGGTGTTAAATCATATGAAATTTAAAGGAGATACGTAGAAAATAACGAATAAAAATTTTCTTAACCATATATATAAAATTACCAACTCCTACTTAACTTTTAATTTGGAAATGAGATCTTGGGATTATACTAGACAAATCTATTATATCTTTAATTCAGTTTTAAACAGTGGTAAAAAAATAACATTTGGGGAATGGCTGTGAAAGGAATAGAGAACATACAGAAATCATCATGTCACTTTACAATTCCACACTGCTACCTGCATAATGAATGCTGAACACATTGCTAGTAACTAACCTCACAAAGAATACAGCAGAACATGTAAACATGTTTTTTACATGTAAACTACATGTAAATGTAGTTTGAGAAGGGCATTAAAGATATTTGACAATTGGCAACATTGTGCTATAATATAGTGACAGTATGAGAAATAGGTTAATTAAGCAAACCAGAATGCTAAAGAGATGGTATAAGAAAACGGGAGTTATAAGAGGCCTGAAACAGCCTAAGTGGCATCGAGAACGGGATTGAGAATCAATTATTTACCATATTTTCCAATAGATGAATGAGGAGGTGTGTAATAAAACTAGCAGCTGTGGAATGAAAAGCAAATATAATTCTTCACAGACTATCATGAAATACGTGAAATTCCTTGTATAAGATGTTCTGAATACTCAACACTTACTCAGGACGAGATCGAACAAACTCAAGATAAATCCTTTGACAACTATTAAACCTAAGATGGTACTTCTCACACAAATCACTGAAATTGTTAGAATGCCAGATAAACCTTCACTCTAACCCATTACTGCTCTTAACTGCCATTTGTCAAGTAGCAGTTGCAACACATTTCTACTCTATTTAGTATCTAATCTTTAGGTAGGATTGAGAGCATTAAAAAAAAAAAAAAAAAAAAGGGATTTGTCAGATATTTACCCTGAGGATTTCAGATGTAGGAATGTTTCTAAGATACAAAAAGGAAGCAATTTTCACTGAAATAAACAGAAAAAACAGGTGACACTATGATGTCCTCTGTAAACATTTGTGTATGTATAAGCAGTCCAATGCATGAATGAGATTGTTCCCATACAGACTGCATGAGGAAAGAGTGGAAATTTTGCCCACAAACTCATGAAGACATCATCACTCTTTCTAAAAACAACTTTCTTGTTCGATAGCAACATGACATTTCCTCTCATACAAAACTGCTAAATGCCCATTATCTATCTGATATCAACTGCTGTCAATTTTGCTTGAGGCTGATACTTTAAGCATTTCATCATTGCTCTGACTGTATGTTCCCATTTTCATTTTACCACACAAAAATAGTTTCAGCATGCTTACATTCTGTATACTTTGTACGTGATTGGCTGCAGACAGGACAGTCAATCTTTTCTGCTAAGCACGTTGTTTACAACCATGGGAAGGATATTTCATTCCAAAATGAGCATGTCTTCACAAAGATACATGTCATCTAACCATCTGCAATGCAATGCACAAATGAAATTTATCTACAAGTGACATTCATTGACTTTAAACAACATTATGCCTTCACAGAAAATAAGTAGCTATCCTTTCCAGAAGACTGCTTCAGATCTTAAAATAGTCTGAGGCTTAATGATCTGTAGAGAGCATACACACTGGAAACATGCATAAACAGAAGTTATATATACTTTCCTATACCTTACAAAACTTTCCAGAAAAGTGTACTAGATCTGACAATTTTCAAAGTCCACTCAATCAACTAGGTGCTTCCAGACCATGCTTATCAGCAAAATCACAAATGGTGACTTTAGGAAAAAGAAAATTTTCTTTAGAAATTCTAAGTAATTTACATTGGCATAGTATGGTTTGTACTGGTAAGGTTATGAAGAACCTCGTGTGCTTTCCATTGGCAATGATTTTTGAGAAACAGGGCACAGCTTATGAGTAATGATAAGTAACAACTTCATATGCTCTTTTGTCAACAAATAATAATATCTATTTTCATGTGTAGTATGGAAAATTACACTCCCATTAATGACAGAAAAGATCCGCCCTTTTTCAGAGCTGGTAAAGGAGAAACTGTTGTCCAACCAAGAATATTTTCTAGTACGCCTCAAATGAGATTTTCTTACTACACCTTTGAGCTCACCAGTGAGTTCTCCATTGCAGCAAAGCTTTCAGAGTTTCTTCGGCATGTGAGTTTTTATTTGGCTAAATAGCACATCTGACTTCTTGGCTATTATTTCAGCAGAAGTCTAGGAGCACACATACACATACAGTCATGAAACACGATGTCAGAACACATTCCTTAATCTACCTAGATGGTCTCCAGGAAAAAACAACAGAAAACAAATCCACCCTATGCTTGAATATCACTACTATTGTGGGTGTACAGGATTTTTCCCCATAAAAAAATTTAATGAAACTGATACAGTATAGTTTTTGTTTCACAAAAGAATATGGGTTGAGAATTACAGAGTAATTACAGAGTGAGTTAATGAAAAGAACAAAGAAACATGCAAGAATCATCTGAAATGAAGTCTCAACTTCATTATTTTTCTGCACCATCAAGATGACCAACCAATAATGCTGGAAGTTCACTAAAGTGGAGTGACACAAAAGTTATTAATTTTAGAGTAAAGAAGAAGGAATATTCAGTTAGGGACTTAAACAATAGTTCCTAAGCAAAGATATAACATTAAAATTATCACAAAATGGACTTCAATGTAAGCAGTGAGAAAAAGTACACTTCTCTAAATAGTGTGCGTCTAAAGAAAGCCAACTGAAAGCAGAGATTACCAACTGCTTTTTCATTGGGGTAAACTACCAGACATATCCAGCACAGCCCAATCTAATAGTCATATTCAAAAGCTTTTACAGTACGTGCCTGTAACTTTACAAACTTCTTACAAGCATTGTATATGTACTGAGATCGCACCGTTTATACCTGACAGAAATAGACTGTTAACTTCTACCACTGTCTATTCCATAGACAAAATCTGAATTTACATCAGTACTCTTCAAAAGCAGGTATAACTGAATAATGAAGTGCATAGGAAGACAATGAGATCTGTGAGATTAAGCATTCAAATAGTAAATTGTAGTGGTAAGATCATTATAAAAAGGAATGACAAGCAAGTAAATTCTATGAAATACATCTTCCAAATGAAGTCCTACTTGGATTATACAAAGATGAGTACCAACCCTTTCTAACTTTGTGAACATGACTATAGAAATCTAAGGTTCTTTAGGATACAGTTGAGATGTTATTTTGAAGTTAAAAAAAAATGAAGAAAAAAAATCATTGACTTGTAAGTTGCGAAATGCTCCTGACTCCACAGAAGGGTCAGTTCCAGGTCTAAGATCTTCAGAGTAATTACAATATACTCTTTTTTTCTTTTAAAAAAATGTATGTACTTTGGTTCAGTGCCAAATCTGCAAAGAAACCTAAATGCTACAGACATTTTCTCCCTAACCTCTCCTATTGCAATCCTGTTCCTTCCAGTCCCAACATGTACTCTAATGTCCCTATCTTTCTCTCACCCTGTTGCAGCTCCAACTCAGATTTCTCATCCTTTCCAATTCTACTTTCATTCTTTCTGCTTGAGGTATGTTTTTTCTCTTCATGTTTGTTCCAGCCTATTCAGTTCTCATTCCTATCTTTTAGTCCTATTCTCCAGCTGTTGGTCATCTTTTTATTCCTCTATCGCTCTCATGGTTCACAAAAATCAGGGAATCGCAGAATGATTTAGGCTGGAAGGATCAACAAGGAGGAAGGATCATCAAGGAGGGATCAACAAAGATAGAGTCCAATTCCTCTGTGTCACGAGCAGGGATATCTTCACAGCATCAAAGCTGGTGAGGGGTCTGGAGAACAGGCCTTACAAGAAGCAGCTGAGGGAAGCAGGATTGTTTTGTCTGGAGAAGAAGCAGCTGAAGAGAGACCTTACTGAACTCTACAACTCCCTGAAAGCAGGTTGTGATGAGGCAGGGGTTGGCCTCTGCTCCTGCATAAGCAGAGACGGGACAGGAGGGACTGGCCCCTAGTTGCACCACAGTAGATTCAGGTTGGATATTAGGAAGAATTTCTTCTCTGAAAGAGTCATCAGGCACTAGAATGGGCTACCAAGGGAGGTGGTTGAGTCACTGTCCCTGGAGCTGTTCAAGAAATGTTTAGATGTTTAGTAAGGGACGTGGTTTAATGGGGAAATATTGGTGATAGGTGAATGGTTGGACTGGATGATTTTGGAGGTATTTCCCAACCTTGGTGATT